GAGGTGACCCCCCAATACTTCATATGGAGACTCTCTGCGGCTAGATTTCACAAACTGTCTAATACTGCTTCTTTTCTTCTTCCTCTTTTTATTTCTTTAACTTGGTGAAAACGCTTGTAAAGCATACGCAAGAAGGTTATAATTGCCTCCATAGCCTATTCTGCAACTGGGTATTGAAGTTTTGCTTGGTTTTGCGGATACAAAAACCTACAATGACTAGATCTTGGACAGAGATGAGATAGAGAGAGGACGGGATGATTGGTGTTAAACACAGAGCAAATTCGCGCATGAGAAAGAGATGAGAGAGAGAAGAGAGAGCAAATTCATGGACAGAGATGATAGAGAGAAGATGTGGGTCAGATCGGTTGGTTTTGGAGTAAGGTTGAATAGCAGTTAATTTTGATCAAGTAACATTTGTAGCAGAAAGGAAAGAGGCTTCAACTGAAGACCAGCTTTCCAAACTTAGAGCAATCCAGTAAAGGAACTCTTACTAGATATTTCCCAATTACTAGCCTTACAAGATATATTCAACTAGACTCGAAAATCTAATCCAATCCAGTCAGATAAATTTTTAATGCAAAGAGGATTGAAAAAGTCTCAACTTTTCAATTGAAACAGAATGGAGCTTTATCTAGTGTATAGTGGACTTCGCACAAATAATGAAATAAGTCATCTACCCTAAAAAATTATTTAGGCTGTATTAAGTAAAAGACCAATCCAGCACAACCCTTTACAAATCTGATTGATATAAAGTTGCTAATCGTTTTATAATTGCAACAACTAATTTTTTTTTTATGCAATTTGTGTGTGTGTCTGTGTCTGTGCACGATGGCTAGTTGCAAGAATATTTACATCAAGGATACTCACATATATTGAACAAACTATACTAACCATCTGAAGTTGTTTTTTTCTTCTGATTCTTGCAGGACATCTTTGTTGGTGGAACTGACACCACTTCCACAGTCCTAGAATGGGCAATGACAGAGCTATTAAGACACCCGAGAGTCATGAATGATGTGCAAAATGAAGTGAGAGAAATTCTTAAAGGTAAGCCACACATAACAGCAGATGATCTGGATAAAATGCACTACCTTAAAGCAGTGGTCAAAGAAACTGTTCGTTTGCATCCTCCTTTCCCATTACTCGGACGTGAAGCGAGTGAAGATGTCAGAGTAATGGGCTATGACATTCCAGCCGGAACAGCAGTTATTATCAATGCCTGGGCAATCGGAAGGGACCCCGCGACATGGGTTGAACCTGAAGAGTTTCAGCCTGAGAGGTTCTTGAATTCTTCTATAGATTTCAGAGGGCATGACTTTGAATTGATTCCATTTGGAGCTGGCAGGAGGGGCTGCCCAGGGACCTCCTTCGCAATTGCCACCAATGAGTTTGTGTTAGCAAATCTAATGCACAAGTTCAACTGGGCATTGCCTGGTGGAGCCAAGGGAGAACATCTGGACTTGACTGAATGCTCTGGTGTTACAATCCGCAGAGGAATACCTCTCCTTGCTGTTGCAACTCCATGTTCTTGCTAGTGTAATCTGTGACATTGTCATGTTTGTTGCATGTTTCCTGTTTACGACAATAAAACATAATTAAAAAAGAGTGTGTGTAAGAATAGACCAAGTACAATTAGCTTAAAGAATTATTGGATTGTGAATTAGATAATGAGAGCTGAAATCCTAGAAGAAACTTTTCTGACTTATCACATTTGTTTGTGTTACACTCATCTTGTCTGACAAAGCATGTAAAAGATTACACTTGGATACAAGATGCTGTCAAGGTGACTAACCCAGTATATAATTTTTCCAGTTAATGATAACACGAGAGACAAAATGAAAAATCATCACTGTTAGAAAGAGCTTTTTGAGTCCAAGTGACTGCAGTAATTTGGAATATGGAATTCCACTTAATCAAATCACCTACGATACCAGATACCTCATCACTGGAATTATAATCCCTGGCTGAAATGTTATGTGGTAAAATGTTGGTGGCAAACGACCCCTCCTGACCAATATGGGAACTCGCACACCCTGACCCCAACTGATTTCCAGGTTCTTTCAACCCATAGAAATTGGAATAAACGTTTCTCTGTGGAGGAACAGAATAACAATTTATTCCATGTAACCTTCATCAATCCATTTGACTTCTTTCGCTAAAAAAAAAAAAGTACCTTCAAATTGATCGCAACCCTACTTAACCTGCTAGACTTTTTTTCTTTTATTTTCGTCCTTAACGATCCGTGCATGCAGTATGCTGTGTTTAGAATAATGTAATAGAAAGAGTACTAGCAAGGGCAAGAATAGGATCAAATACGACCATGTATTGGCTTTAAGATTCATGATAACGAAAAGCTACACAGATATCTCAAATCATATACAAATTAGATCTGCAGTAACAAGAGATCAAAGGGTTTAAACCATTCCTATAAAGTATAGCCATGTTTGGTTTAATTATTTAACAGAGTATGATATTTGCAAAAAGAGAAATAGTTTTCAAAATATTATGAGAGATTCTCCTCTAAAATTGAACAATAAAATACTATTCAAAGTCATGTCTAGTTTAACTAAATTAATTTCAATTCCAAATTCAAGTCGCTGATTCGGTGTTCCCAAACGCAACAACAATGAAATCCTCATTAGTTTAAAAACAAGTGTGGGCGTGCACACAAAAGGGATGTGTCTAGTTTTCTGTGAAGGAGAAGTTACTGACTTCACATATTGTTTAATACTTTAATCTCATGCAGACACATAAAGAAATCTTCATTAGTTTAAAAACAAGTGCTCTAACACGCATACTAAGGGATCTGTCTAGCTTTCTGTATCTGAATCTGATGGAGCAGCTAGTGTCTTCATTTCTCTTGCACCCATTTTTCTTCTCTTGTCTTCCGTTATTATTCATAGCATTCCTCATCAAGACATGGCACCTCAATACTTCTACTACCAACAAACACCTACCACCTTCACCACCAAAGCTCCCAATTTTAGGAAACTTGCACCAACTGCACTTGCCCGCTCACCGCTCACTCCGATCTTTATCTCAACGACACAGGCCTCTCATGCTGATTCACCTCGGCAGCAGGCCGACACTTGTTGCCTCATCCGCTGACACTGCTTGAGAGATCATGAAAACACATGATCTTGTCTTTTCAAACAACCCAAAATCGAACATTGCTAACCGGCTTCTCTACAATTACAAGGATGTGATTACGGCCCCTTATGGTGAATTCTGGAGGCAGATGAAAAGCATATTTGTACTCCAGCTTCTAAGTAATAGAAGAGTTCAGTCTTTTCATAATGTCAGAGAAGAAGAAACAGCCCTCCTGATGAAGAAGATGGAAGTCTTCTTCATCCTCGCCATTGAATTTAAGTGAAATGTTCACGCTGCTAACGAATGATGTGGTATGCAGGATTGCTTTTGGGAGGAAGCACAGTGGATGGGGAGATGAGAAGAATTTTATGCTGCAATTGAAGGATTTCGCAGGGTTGTTGAGCAGCTTTGATGTTGGGGACTTCATTCCATGGCTTGGATGGATCAATCATGTCACTGGTCTTTATGCCAAAGTGGACAGAGTTGCAAAAGAGATTGATGAATTCCTGGAGCAAGTAGTTGAAGAGCGTGTGAATGTCCTGAAAAGGAAGAGTTATGGCAACGAGAGAGTTGAAGAAGAAGGCAGGGAGGGAGGATTTCCTTGATATTTTGCTTAGGATCCATAAAGACAATATTGATGTTGATAGAGATTGCATCAAAGATCTCATCTTGGTGAGGATCTCTGTGTGTGTGTGTGCGTGTGTGTGTGTGTGCGTGTGTGTGTCAAATTAGAAGTTTAATAAAAAACCAGAAAGATACAACACAACACCCACTCATCAGCAAAACAAGAATGTTAATCAAACAATACAAATGAAACTTCCACATCAGAAAACAGCAAAGGAATACAAATGAAATCAGCAAATATATTTCAGAAGAACTAGCTTCAACTTAAGACCAGCTTTCCAAACATAGAGCAAACCAGTTAAAGTACTTGATGTTACCAGATATATTCAACTAGCCTCACAAATCTAATCCAATCTAGTGAGATCAATTTTTAATGCAAAGAGCATTGAACAAGTCTCAACTTTAGATTTACAGGGGAAAAAAAAAAAGTCTCAAATTTTCCAATTGAAACGTAATGGAGATTTATCTATCTATAGTGTATAGTGGACTTTGCACAAATTAGCAATCCATTCTGAATATTTCTTTAGGCTGTATTAAGTAAAAGACCAATCCAGTACAACCCTAAACAAATCTAATTGATATATAGCTGCAAATCATTTAATAATTGAGACAACTAATTTTATGTCATGAATTGTCTCTCTCACTCTTAAGTCTGTCCTCTGTGTGTGTGTGCATGATGGCTAGTTGCAAGGATATTCACATCAAGGATACAGACATATATTGAGCAAACTTTACTAACCATCTTAATTTGTTTTATCTTCTGATTCTTGTAGGATATCTTTGTTTCTGGAACTGATACCACTTCACAGTCCTAGAATGGGCAATGACAGAGCTATTAAGACACCCGAGAGTCATGAATAATGTGCAAAATGAAGTCAGAGAAGGCAAACCACACATAACAGCAGATGATCTGGAGGAAATGCACTGCCTTAAAGCAGTGGTCAAAGAAACTGTTCGTTTGCATCCTCCTATCGCATTACACGGACTTGAAGCGATCGAAGATGTCAGACTAATGGGTTATGACATTCCAGCCGGAACACTGGTTATTATCAATGCTTGGGCAATCGGAAAGGACCCCATGTCATGGGTTGAACCTGAAGAGTTTCAGCCTGAGAGGTTCTTGAATTCATCTATAGATTTCAGAGGGCACGAATTTGAATTGATTCCATTTGGAGCTGGCAGGAGGGGCTGCCGAGGGACCTCCTTCGCAATGGCCACCAATGAGTTTGTGTTGGCAAATCTCATGCACAAGTTCGATTGGGCATTGCCTGGTGGAGCCAAGGTAGAACATCTGGACATGACTGAATGCTCTGGTGTTACAATCCGCAGAGGAATACCTCTCCTTGCTGTTGCAACTCCATGTTCTTGCTACTGTAATCTGTGACATTGGCATGTTCGTTGCATGTTTCCTGTTTTTGAGAATAAAACATATTTAGAAAGAGATTGTGTAAAATATTGACTAAGTACAATTAACTTAAAGCATTATTAGATTGTGCATTCGATAATATTTAACTGAAATTCTAAAAAAAAAAAAAAACAACCTTTTGGCTTATCACATTTGTTTGTGTTACACTCATCTTGTCTAAAATATGATAGAGGAATGTTGGAATGTAATTCTATATAGAACACGGAGCATGAAAAAAGATTGCACTTGGATACAAGATGCTGTCAAGGTGACTAACCCAGTAAACAATTTTCCCAGTTAATGATATAATATTTAGAGCTCAATCAATAAAAGTGACAAATGAAACATCATCACTGTTAGAAAGAGCTTAATGGATCCAACTGACTGTAGTAATTTGGAATTTGAAATTCATGTTAATCAAATCACCTACAATACCAGATACTGCATCACTGGAACTAAAATGTTCCATGGTAAAATGTGGATGTCAAAGGACCCTGCCTGGCCAATATGGGAACTCACCCACCATAACCCAAACCGGCAACCCATAGAAATGATAACGAAAATGTACGCAGGTAGCTCAAATCATATACATATTAGATCTGTAGTAACAAGAGATCAAAGAGTTACCATGCCCATAAAATACATGTTCTGGTGGGACAGACATATTATAGCTTCCGCTTATTGTTATTATGGTTGTACTTTGGTACTTTGATAGAAGCTATTTTCCCAAAACAACAAATTATATTCTTATACCTCAAATCTTCACCATCGTTAGATTGTGTAGTTGAAGTAGGACAGTTTCGATTTCAATTTACAACTGTGAACAAAAAATTCATTACCAGTTACATCAGTCAAGAACGCAGATACATAAAATATTTGTGCGAAAGCAATTTCAGTAATGAGAATGACATGCATAACAGTAATCACTAAGTTTTTACTTGATTAGTGCGAAACGATTTAGGGATTTGATAATGAAATCGACTTGTTTGCTTTAATTCATTATAAATCAATGAGTTCATACATCATCTGTGCGAAACAATTTAGGGATTTGATAATGAAATCGAGCTGATTCGTATTATGACATGCAATGGCCTAAATTCGTGCTGTGAAAAGGGAAGAATACCTGCGGTATGGTTGCGAAGCAATTTCCAATTGCTAGGGCTTCGGATTGACCATTATGAGGAAGAAGAAGATGGCCTGCGACAACTTGCTAGGGTTTTGAATTGAAGCTTGATGAAGAAAGATGACCGTTGTGACTTGTGCAAATGTAATGGATGGTAGCGCGATTCGGGTCGGGTAATGTTGGTAAATTTGAAGATAGCTCTTTTGCCCGTGACACAAATTATTGGCGTTGTGAAATTGAGAGAGCATAGAATATCCGGGTACTTGCATCCTCAACTAGTGCATAAAAATTAAATTCACAACTTAGTAAATTGAGTTGTGAAATAAATTTTTATTTTTAATTTAAATTGTATATTAAATAAAGAAATAGTTGAAATAGATATTTAATTTTATTTCTGTATATGTGTATAATTTTCTGCACTGATGGAGCTGCTACCGACCTCATTTCTTGGGCATCCATTTTTCTTCTCTTCTCTTTCCATATATATATATAGCCACGAACCAACCTTAAAAAGCAAACTAATGGAGCCACTTGCTATTGTTATTATTAATTTTCCTTCTGTTTTTGTGATTTTTGAAGTTCGGGTTTTGTTAGTAAAAGGGTATATGATTGGCACTGTAATTTTTTAAATTTTATTTTATACATTCATGAAGCTATGATTCCAGTTGAAAAATGGAGATAAACTATATATATTATACATGAATTGCTAGTGTTTCTAGTGATTGAAGGTTAATAACTTTGTAACAGGTAAAGCTGTACGTGGTCTTCGTCAGTTACAGAAAAAGAGAGATCGAAAACCTTTTAAAGTGATGCAGGTAGGGGTAGTTTGGGCATTTAAATTTTTTATTTGACTGAAATTTAACGGACATGTCAATATAGGAGCTATCTGCTTAAATAAGTGTCGGTGAACACACACAAACAAATCTGTCGAGTTTTCTGATGATGGAGCCGCTACTGACTTCATTTCTTTGGCATCCATTTTTCTTCTCCTCTTTCCGTATATATAGATAGCCACGAGCAAACCTCACAATGCAAACTAAGAAATCCACTTGCTATTGTTATTATTATGTTTCCTTTTGTTTTTGTGATTTATGAAGTTTGGGTTTTGTTAGGAAAAGGGTATATGATTTGTAACGATCCGAATTTGTGGGTCCGAACCGTTAATTGGGTCCTTACCCGAACCCGTAGTCAACCAAGTCATACCATTCATCTTCTGTGTCCATGACTGTCAGACGAGTCAATCCATTGTCCAAATGCTCTAAGACACAACCTTACAAAGATGGTCAGATGCATAGGTCAAAGAGGAAGGGTCAGCTGACAGAGCATAACCGTTCAGCACATGGTCGGTCGTTCTGACTTACAAGGTTCGGTCATTCTGACCTAGAATGGCTCGGTCGTTCTGACCTCAGATGGTTCGACCCTTAGCCGTTCGGAAAGAAATGTTCGGCCCTCAGCCGTTCAGAAAGGAAGGTTCGGCCCTCCGCCATTCGGAAAGGAAGGTTTGGCCCTCGGCCGTTTGGAAGAAAGGTTCGGCCCTCGGCCGTTCGGAAAGAAAGGTTCGGCCCTTAGTCGTTCAGAAAGAAAGGGTCGCCCTCGGCTGAAGGAAAGGTTCAGCCCTTCATCCCTTGGCTGAAAGAAAGGTTTAGCCCTCGGCTGAAGGAGAGGTTCAGCCCTCGGGTGGCTCTGCCAATTAGCTGGTTCTCCTTGTCAGCCGGCCGACTGGCCCTGGATAGCTGCTATCTGCAACCTGGTAGTCCAGAACCCTGGACTCTTAATGAGCCGACCTTGATAATCAACTTAATGTGCAGCCGAACCCAAATTCACGTCAATAAACATGACATTTTTAAATGAAAGGCATCTACAATTGATCAGAACTTAACTCTATTACCCATTCATCAAGAAATAATTATATAGTCTTATTTTATACAATTGAAAAGAATTAAATACAAGGATGATGCCTCCCTGGCCAAAATTTACATAGCTTTAATATAAATAAAATGAAATAAATTCCTAACTACATCAGTGTCCATAGATGCACATCATTTTTCGGCTAGTCTCAGAATTCCTAAAAAATGTTAATGATAATAGGGTAAACTCAACAGCTCAGTAGGAAAAAACCTAAAATACATTCCTAAAAATCCTGTGAGCCGCAACCAAAGAAGAGGAGATCAGGAAAAAAAATCATGGGAATACTAGCCACTACATCATACATGAATTTTCACAAATTCTCAAATCATTTCATCACCTATCATGTAGATCAACAACAAATCATGCTTCACAACTCAATACTGGACAAAACTAAACATGCTCACACCAACAAGATTTATATGTAAAGAACACATAGGAAACTCACTAAAATCATAGGAATTCGTAATTTAGACTTCCCCTACCTCAAGATGGCAACCCAAGCTCCAAGCTTCGAACTTAAATCCCACCAAAAGCTTGTAATACCGGTACCAAAATGTAGCCCTTTCAATGATCTATAATTTGCTAACTCCGGCTTAAACCAAATCTTCTTCTAGCATGAAGAAATTCTAGAGAGAAGGAAAAGAGCAATATAGAGAGAGAAAATAAAGAGAGGAAAAACATGTTTGCCGAAGGAAAAGAAAAGAATGGGTCAAAAATGAAGCCATCCTTATTGGTCTCTAGAACATTTAGGTTGGTCCATGAGACTAAAATAACAAAGATGCCCCTTAAACTTCTTTGCAACCTCAACAATGCCATAAAATATCACCATCTACTTAATACCACTAATATAACATACATACATGAATATAAATACACACACACATGTGAAATGCCGATGATGCCCCTCCCTTAGGATAAGAAAACCGGGAGAAGTTCCCGAGTCCAAAAATCATCTCGATTTCTGAAAAATTCTAAAAATGAAACCGTCATTTCTAATTGACTTAGAATGACAAATAAAACACACTGATAAACGCCGAATATTGCATATTCAAGCGCCCTTATTTGCATTAGTTAAGTCCATTAGTTGATCATAATGTATAGTTTAGCTTTATTTGTTTATTTTCTTCTACTTTCAGGTTGGTTCCCCCGAATAAGGTTTAAGGAACGGTTTTAACAAACTCTTGAAGAATCAAAGTATGCCATTGCTGGGGACCATCTTTTGGGCCAAGCTTCTTGAGTCATCATATGTGTGAAGTTTGCGGTATAGTGCTCAGGACGACAACCGCATCAGCAGATCGGCTCAAAGTGGCTCAAGAGAGGAATGAAGGTTTTGCAGCTAAGCTCCGCAGGCCCCCGCCAAAACCTCCAGTAGCCCTTTGTTCCCGTGGGCGCCCGTAGCAACCCCGCGGGCCACCACCGCAGCACCGTGGGGGCCCGCCGCAGATCCGCTGGCGCCCGCCAAAACCTCCAGTGAGCTCCTTGGATTCTGAGGACCCGCGGGCACCCACCATCGCCCAGTGGCCCCCGCCGATCTGCAAAAAGCAGATCACGTGCTCCTGATTTCAAGCTGCATTTTGTCCCCTAAGAAATTTCTGTGGTCCTTATGGCTTCTAGGGTAGTTGGAGCTCGAAATTGAGTTATTGGAGGGAGGATTTTGCCTAGATAAGAGGTTGGAAGCTTGTATTTTTGGGGGATCTCACATTTGGTGCAAAGTTAGAGAGAGAAATAGTGAGTTTGGAAGGTTTGGGTATTCTTGAAGCCTTAGGTGCGAAAATGGAGGTGGAGGCTTCTTCTTCTTCTTCATTCCTTGTATCCATGGGTAACTAACTCCTTATCTAAGGAGGTGATGAAGCCCTATTTTGTAAGCATTGCTTAGTTTTGATTTAATTTTGGGGTATAATGTATATATATGGTTTTTTCTATGAGCTAGAGCACCTTACATGATGTAATGAACTTCAATGTCTATAAATGATCATTTTGAGTTAAATATCTTGTCTTAGATTATTTTCTCTCATGATTATATTGCTTCATTTTCATAGTGACAATGGAAATGAGTTCATGAAAGTGTTAAATATCTTCATTTGATAGATTATTCTTGATTTCTATTTCATGTGCTTATATTATGAGATTAAGGGCTTGATAATCTTTGGCTTAGTGAGCATGTCTAAGGTTGCATCCTAGTTTAGGTAATCAAAACATGTAATGCTTTGATAGGTTATTCTTGCCTATTGATTTCATAAATTTCTTGAAGGTAATGTAGCAATTTTGTGTTGTTGCATTCCATGGTCATATATATATGTAATTTCCCCAAGTAAATCATGTCCTAGCATGCTTATTGATAGGTAGTAGATTCACTTCCCTAGTCCCTTCTTTATTGTCTTTATCTCTTTACTTCCTAGCACATTATTGTTTTATGCATTTTTCAATTCCTAATTTTAGTGACAACCTAAACAAAACTCTATACCCCTTCATCATTCTAAAAGTAATTTTAGACACCTTAGTTGCCATAAACTAGCAATCCCTGTGATTCGACTTACCCGAACAATAGCCCTATTTTACAATGATTTGTGCTATTGCAAAATGGTTGATTTATTAGTGATCGAATCTCAAACCGATCACACACTTCTAAAACCCTCGGCTCAAAATGACCAAAATGCCCTTCGGGGCCCACGTGGGACGCCAAACGAGGAAAGGATTAAAAAATCCAAAAAATCAATTAAATTCCAGAAAATAAAAAATAGAAAAAATCGGTACCCAGGAAAACAACCCATCAACATAACTCAAGGATCAACTGATCCAACAACTGAAACTCCTTGGACACGTAGTCCCATACCGAATGCATCACCATCCACGACAAGTCAGCTGAACACGTACAAATAATACCATCAACCCCAAGTGAAACTCACTCTAAAATGGGATTGTACTACCATACGTATGCAACACACAACACCGTACTCTAACTGTCACTAAGTATACTAAAATCAATGATCATTGACCTTCGACCTGACATTGTGTTAAGGAAAGACTGACTCAGAAAAATGGTTGGCTAGGTTATTCCCATCATCCATCCGACCTTAACACCAACGTCGTTCTTGTCCTCAGGTTTAATCCTCAAGTACACCTATGCACCAACTTCCACGTTTAACTCTAGACACACAGTCCAACCATCCTTAACACACGAGTCAAATTACAGTTACTAGGCTCCACTGCTAGCTCCAAGACCCTAAGAAAATGTACACACCGGTAAATAAGTCATGTCTCACATCGCATCGGTCACAACTTCTCAGAATAATTCCCCCAAAACCAAGGACTTTACCTCCTACTGTGGAGGTAAGTCGAATGATCCAGAACAAACCCTCACTCGGAATCCTCATCAAAGAGAGAACTCTAAAAAGTTCTTTCGCCCACGGACACGCACAACTCCTATATGGAGATACAAAACTCACTGATGACAAAGTCCTTGCCAGGGCCAACATAAGAAGAAGAGAGATTAAGTCCTTCTACCGCAACAGAACAGAACACGCATTTATCGATACCTTGCATAAGCTATGCCAAGGAAGAGGAACTAAACGGAGACGAAACAACTTGTACACCTTAACATCCATACGTATAAGAGAACAGTGTCCCTTCCTAAAACTCTAGGGCTAAACAGCAAATTCTAAGACATCGTGTCTCATCTTGCCCGAAAAAGAACTTTAACAAGTGAAATTCTAAACCTTTCATTCGTAAAAACAACTAGGAAATACTGACCACTACATCAATAACCTTTAAAGTAGCATGGATAAAACCCTTCTGTCATCAATCCCTTATTAAAACCAGTGCATAAGAGCTCAACTGCTCATAAAATACACATCATTATCCAATAAAACTGTCTGGAATATTCATATAGTCTCTCAAATACATCATTGCCTTAATAAATAACAGTCACAACTGGTACATCATTACAACTTAAGACTCGTACAAAACTGCTCGATCCATATCCTGCCCCAAGGGCTCACACTAAGTATCATCAACATCACTCAGTCCGGAACCACACTACGAGATATGTCCTCTATCCTGGCACAAATGAACCCGACACTGCACAAAGTGAACAGGCATCTATCCAAACTCACATTTAACCCCCCTTACCAGAATAACTGTGTGCAGGTACCTCATGTCACACCCAAACTCGCAGGTATCCCCCGTTACAGAACTCGCAGGTATCCTCCGCTACAGACCTCGCAGGTATCCCCCGTTATACAGTCACAGGTAACCCCCGTTACTGTACCAGACTCACAGATATCCCCTGTTACGACATGACACGACTCACAAGTTGCCTCCATTACAACACGACACAATGCACTGACAACAACATGACAAGATGCATATATGATAATACGACATGACTCCCAGGTAACTATGCAACACGACTGACAAATTATTGTGCAGTCTGATATGACTCACAGACAATAATGAAACATGACTCACAGGTGACCATGCAACACGACATGACTCACAAGTAGCCCCCGTTACAACATGACATGACTCACAAGTATCCCCCGTTACAACACATGCCAGCTCACAGGTGTCCCTCGTTACAACTGACATGACTCACAGGTATCCCCCGTTACAACAGTCACAGGTAACCCCCATTATAAAACTCACAATTGTGTACAGACAACTGCCTAATCTCACAGGTATCCCTCGTTACAAAAGAATCAATCATAATAATATCTCATTTCCTCTATAGACAATCCCTCTTCATGTGGCCCGATTAACCACACCGAAAACAAACTACGGAACTAGGTCTATCAAGAGGACACTTCGCCTTGCGGTGTCCTGCCTGCTTACAGTGGTAACACACCAAACTTGTCTTAGAAGGCTCTGAAGAAACACCAACAATAAGAGTAGCACTTGCCATTTGCTGCTCCTGAGAAAATAGTGAAGCACATCTGTGCCTCTTCCTATCCTGACTCCTGGAAGAAGTACCCACATTAGTACCTCATTCCTGAGAACCCACAGTACCACTCCTCTTTTGCCAATCCTTGGCTTCTACTTCTGCCATCAGTGCTTTCATAACCGCTTCCAAATAATTCTTTAATCCCAAAAGTGTCAACCCCAACCTAATAGAACGATTTAGGCCGTACACAAAACGCCATGTCTTCTCCTCCTCGTTTCCTAACACATCCGAAGCAAAACGTGAGAGAGAAGTGAACTTATTCTCATACTCCGTTACTGACATGTCACCTTGCTTGAGACTATCAAACTACATCGTCAATTCCCGTCTCTTAGTCTGTGGGAAATACTTTTTAAAGAAAAGACTCTTGAATGCATCCCAACTCATACTGTCAATACCATGCGCGTTAGTCATGGTCTTCCACTACACTGCCACATTACTAACAAACTTGTACATAGCTAAGGTGATCTTCAACCAATCATCGGGCACAACTATTGCCTTGAAATGCTTTTCAACTTCATCTAACCAATCGCCTACAACTAATGGGTCTGGACCTCCCTCAAATACTATTTTCATGAGTATGTTAAATTGAAGCAGGTACCCAAGATTCCACTCCATCTCCGTCTTTTGCGGCTGAATAGTCGGTTGTGGTACCACTTGAGGAGCTGTGGTACTCGCTAAATTCTGAAAGGCTGAGGCTACATCCCTTGCTACTAGAACTTCGTCCTCCGGTACTTGTGGATCATTATCCACCTCTCTATCTCGGTCTTCTCCCATCAAAACCCTGTCTGGTTGGGATGGCCCTTCACCTGCTCGCTGTCCAACTTCATTCGAATCCATCACGTCACGTAGTCTTCAAACACGATTTTACAATGATAACCAAATGATCAAAACAAGAATACATAAAGTAGCTCAATCCACGAGCTACGGTGCTCACACCAATCGTTCAATAAGAACTAAACATTCAGAAATGTAGAAGTAATCAAGCCCCTCACTTATGTGGATCAAAACCTTCCGCAACTCAACATACAACACTGTCCCAAACACTCAAACCCGTCAACAATGAAACCAACAAGTCATGTATACATCCACTCCTTAGTGGATGAACAACCACAACGTGAACCTCAGCATGCAACTACATCCCAGAATAGGATCATAACTATCATGCCCAACTAATTGTAATAAGAACTTGTATAACATGCTTTTAATAACACTAAACATTTAACAGTTAAGCACGTAGTCAACTAAGCATGCTTTCATCAACAGTAACAGTTAACAATTAACCACGTAATGAATCAAGCATATATCAAGTAAACTTAATCATATAATTAGTTACACATAAACGTTTAACGTTATACAATTAGGCATGCTTTAAACAAATATAACCATTTCATTAATCATACAAATAATTTCATGTAAACATTTGGCAAATAGGCATGCCTTTACATTAATCAATCAACGACTTAATAACAATAAATAGCTTATCATTTAGCATGCTTTATTTTATTCGTGAGTTTGTAAATTATAAAATCAACTCGTATACAAACATATAACAATTAATCATGCTTTTGAACTAAATAAACTGAATAAACAACAACAACATAAGTGTGCAATCACGTTAAATCCAACTCTAACCTCACTAGGTCGACCCTACCCGTCGTCCTTAGGTGTTTGAACCTAAAACTTTGATACTTATTTTGTAACGACTTGAACCCGTGGGTTCGAACCGTTAACTGGGTCCTCACCCGAACCCGAGGTCAACTAAGTCATACCATCCATTTTCTGTGTCCATGACTATCAGACGAGTCAATCTATTGTCTAAATGCTCTAAGACACAACCTTACAAAGAGGGTCAGATGCATAGGTCAAAGAGGAAGGGTCAGCTAACAGACCATAACCGTTCAACATATGGTCGGTCAGTCTAATATACAAGGTCGGTCGTTCTGACCTACATGGTTCGGTCGTTCTAACCTAGAATGGCTCGGTCGTTCTGACCTTAGATGGTTCAACCCTCAGCCGTTAGGAGAGAATGGCCTTCAACCGTTCGGAAAGGAAGGTTCGGCCCTCGGTCGTTCGGAAATGAAGGTTCGGCCCTCGGCCGTTCGGAAGAAAGGTTTGGCCCTCAGTAGTTCGGAAAGAAAGGTTCGGCCCCCGTTCAGAAAGAAAGGTTCGGCCCTCGGTTGACGGAAAGGTTTAGCCCTTTAGCCCTTGGCGGAAAGAAAGGTTCAGCCTTCGGCTGAAGGAGAGGTTCAGCCCTTCAACCCTCGGCTGAAAGAAAGGTTCAGCCCTTGGCTGAAGGAGAGGTTCAGCCCTCGGGTGGCTCTACCGGTCAGCTGGTTTTCCTTGTCAGCCGGCCGACAGGCCCTGGTTATCTGCTATCTATAGCCTGGTAGTCCAGAACCCTAGATTCTTAATGAGCTGAACTTGATAATCAACTTGATGTGCAACCGAACCCAAATTCATGTCAATAAACATGACATTTAAAAATGAAAGGCATCTACAACTGATCAAAACTTAACTCTATTACCCATTCATCATGAAATAATTACATAGTCTCATTTTATACAATTAAAAAGAATTAAATACAAGGATGAGGCCTCCCTGGCCAAAATTTACATAGCTTTAATATAAATAAAATGAAATAAATTTCTAGCTACATCGGTGTCCATGGATGCACATCATTTTCTGGCTTGTCTTAGAATTCCTGAAAAATGTTAATGATAATAGGGTGGGCTCAACAGCTTAGTAGGAAAAAGTCTAAAATACATTCCTAAAAATCCCGTGAGCCGCAACCAAAAAAGAGGAGATCAGGAAAAGGGATCATGGGAATACCAGCCACAACATCATACATGAATTTTCACAAATTCTCAATCATTTCATCACCAATCATGTAGATCAACAACAAATCATGCTTCACAACTCAATACTGGACAAACTAAACATGCTCACACCAACAAGATTTACATGTAGAGAACACATAGGAAACTCACTAAAACCATAGGAATTCATAGTTTAGACTTCCCCTACCTCAAGATATTAACCCAAGCTCCAAGCTCCGAACTCAAATCCCACCAAAAGCTTGTAATATCAGTACCAAAACGTAGCTCTTGCAGTGATCTATAATTTGTTAACTCCGGCTTAAGCCAAATCTTCTTCTAGCATGAAGAAATTCTAGAGAGAAGGAAAAGAGCAATATAGAGAGAGGAAAAACATGTCTGCTGAAGGAAAAGAAAAGAATGGGTAAAAAATGAAGCCATCCTTTTTGGTATCTAGAACATTCTAGGTTGGTCCATGAGACTAAAATAACAAAGATGCCCCCTTAAACTTCTTTACAACCTCAACAATACCATAAAATATGTAACGACTCGAAAAGATACTAAAATAATAATAAAAATCTATAAAAATTTCGGCATGACTTCCACAGAAAATGTCCCTCAACAACCTGTAGAAATACAAAAAATAAATGCAATGGCCTCACTGGGTCTTAAATCTAACTTATCCTGTCCCAACGCACAATTCAAATATTATACTACATTCCCAAAATAGTTACATACATACAAAAGTCCCGTTCCTCCATCTCATCCAAACATGGAACCCATTTAAGTTACATCAAATTACTGTCCATAAAATGTAGCTAGAATTAAAAGTCCATAACTTACAACATCATACTAATTAAGCTAAAGTGTCACAAGGTAGTTAATATTACATTTACAAAATATTAGAGTCTAATACAAAAGATAACAAAATAGAATGGGTTTTCAAGCTCATCTAAACCTGTGGTGGACCGTTGTCCGCCACCTCTTTTCCATATCCTGAAAAAAAATGTTAAAAATAAGGGGGTGAGCATAAACTCAGTAGGAAGTGTCTAAGACACACTTCTTATGTCCCCGTGAATCTATACAATGAATAGATAAAAAGTGAACGGGATCATGCCATCGGAAAACACACATTCTCAACCACAATAACAAGTATATAACAAATATCAACCAATCACAAATTTACCACGATGTCATGAAGTGCAATGTTATACAAATGTCACTCCCCATTTCCGAAACAATTCCGTTTCAACAACCAAACCGTTAGTGTAGTCCGACCCAAGGCACCTCCATGGTGTCACGAAAGGAAAGTTGGTTAACTATCCACGACCATAAGGCATCTCCAAGGCATCGCACCCGGCCTAGTTAACTCAACTACATTCCCTTCTAGACTACACCAACATCACGAACCACTAGGATCCTCCTAGGCGTCCGGTTTTCACAACACTTTTAGAAAATATTTTCCCCAAAATAATTTTTATTTGTTCTAACAATTATTTTTCCCCCTTTCTCTTTCCCAATGGATGCATGAATACTTCATGCTTCAAATCATTAATTTAACTATATACTTTCACATATTTCCATTTACATTATCATCACAATTTAATGAAAATTTCTAAACATTCATTTCCTTTATTTATTTATGACCATAGCATCCATTTTTCTTCAAGACAATAAATAAATAAATAATCATGGAAACATACAACACATTAAACACTAAGCATGCTCATTTATATGAACTCAAATAACACAAGGAGCACAATTATCATTATAATTACAAAGAACTACAACAATAACAAGCTAAGTAATTATAATTTAGCATGCTTAGAATCAAATTTAAGAAGAAAAATTTACCAAAGGCCAAGAAATTGTAGATTAGAACACCCCTACCTTAATGGAAGTGAAAACTCCCAAAATCCCCAAATCCAAGCCCAAGAACCCTAGAATTTTGAACTCCTTGGAGTGCACCAAATGATGATTGGTTCCTATCAAATTGAAGGCCTCGACGAGCTCAACAATTTTGCTTCACAATGTTCTACCAAATTCCCAAAGGAAAAAGCAAGATCAAGGTTTGAATGGTGAAAGCAAAAAATAAAACAAATGGTCCAGAGAGAGAACTTGGAAACTGCCGAGAGAGAGCATCTGTAATGGCCTTATGGCCTTTTTGATGTTTTTAATAGTGGTGGGGCCCACTTGTTTTATTTCTTTTTCTTTTAACCTCAATTATATATATATACATATATATCACAACATTACATTCTCCCCAACTTTAAAAGATTTCGTCCCCGAAATCAGGCCATACCTGAGGGAGAAAACAACTCTGGATACTTGGAGCGAATCTCCTGTTCGAGCTCCCAAGTAGCCTCCTCAACTCCATGATGTTTCCAAGGAACCTTTACCAACGATATCGTCTTTTTCCTTAACACCTTCTGTTGTGTGTCAAGAATCTAAACTGGTCCCTCTTCATAGGAAACATCCACATCAATGTCCACATCAACCCAACTTAAAATATGAGATGGATCTGGCTCGTACTTCCGTAGCATCGACACATGAAAGACATTATGAACCCTGTCCATCTGTGGTGGCAATGCTAGTCTGTAGGCAACCTCTCCTACGCGGTCCAAGATCTCAAAAGGTCCAATAAATCGTAGCGACATCTTGCCACTCTTCCCGAACCTCATCAACCCCTTCCTTGGAGAAACCCGAAGAAAAACATGGTCTCCCACCTCAAAGGATAGCGGTCGTCTCCGCCTATCTGCATAATTCTTTTGTCGGCTCTGAGCTGTAAGCAATCTTTGTCTGATCAGCTTAATCTTCTCGGTAGTCTCGAGTACAATGTCGGGTCCTAAGGCGGTTGTCTCGCCCACCTCAGTCCAACAGACAGGAGACCTACAAGGTCTACCATACAATGCCTCAAATGGAGCCATCTGAATACTCGCCTGATAACTATTGTTATAGGCAAACTCAATAAGTGGAAGGTGATCCTCCCAACTACCACCCAAGTCAAGTACACAGGCTCGAAGCATATCCTCCAAGATCTGGATGGTACGCTCCGACTGGCCGTCCGTCTGTGGATGAAATGCAGTACTAAGGTGCAACGCTGAGCCAAACGCTGCTTGAAGTCCTTCCCAGAACTTCGAGGTGAACTTAGCATCCCTATCCGACACAATAGCCACTGAAACTCCGTGCAATCTCACAATCTCTTTCACATAAAGTACACCGAGTGTCTCTGCGTCATCTGTTGCCTTAATAGGCAAGAAGTGAGCCGTCTTGGTCAATCTATCGATAATGGCCCATACGGCTTCATTTCCCCTCCATGACCTAGGAAGACCTGTCACAAAATCCATTGCAATCTCCTCCCATTTCCACTGCGCTACCGGCAACGGCTGCAATAAACCAGCTGGTCTCTGGTGCTCGGCCTTCACCTGCTGACAGGTAAGGCGCTTAGCTACAAACTGTGCAACATCATTCTTCATTCCATTCCACTAATACTGACGTCTCAAATTGTGATACATTTTGGTACCACCCGGATGAACTGCAAAGCGGGAAGTATGAAACTCCCGTAAGATGTCCTCACGACAAACTGTCGGAACAACCAACAAACCCCTAAACCGTAGACCTCCATCTGCATGTAAGGTCCAATCCTTGACGATCTCGCCACTGGAGATCAAAGTGTAAATGGCATCCAAAGCTGAATCCTGTCTCTGTGACTCAATCACCCATTTAACAAGAGTGGGTTGAGCCACGAGACTAAACAAGAATACTGACTCACTGCCATCATCATCATCATCAAAACAATACAATCCCATTTCAGCCAAATTTTCCAGCATTTTCCATTTCCGAATGGCTAAACTAGCCAAAGTCCCACGAGATTTCTGGCTTAAAGCATCAGCTACCACATTTGCCTTGCCAGGATGATACTGCAATTCAAAGTTATAGTCTTCTAAGAATTCAACCCATCGCCTCTGTCTGTTGTTCAAGTCCTTTTAGGAGAAAAGGTACTTGAGACTCTTGTGGTCCGAGAACACCTCAAATCTCTCACCATACAAATAGTGTCTCCAACACTTCAAAGCAAATATAACTGCCGCTAACTCTAAGTCATGAGTAGGGTAGTTAAGCTCGTGAGTCTTCAACTGTCGAGACCCATAAGCCACTACTCTATCATCTTGCATCAGTACACAACTCAAACCATCACGTGAGGCGTCACAATAGATCACATAACCTAAGCCACGCTCAGGTATCACCAACACCGGAGCCATAGTCAACCTTGTTTTCAACTCTAGAAAGGATGACTCACAGGCCTCATTCCATGCAAACTTGATCCCTTTCCTGGTCAATCTGGTCATAGGAGCTGCCAAACGGGAAAAATCCTTCACAAATCTCCGATAATAACCCGCTAGGCCAAGGAAACTCCGGATCTCAAAGACATTCTTGGGTTGCTCCCAACTCAAAACTGCTTCTATTTTTGAAGGATCAACTGAAACCCCACCTTCCGAGACAACATGTCCCAAAAATTTCACCTCTTGTAGCCAAAACTCACACTTTTCATACTTGGCATACAAACGGTGCTCCCGTAGAATCTGCAACACTATACCCAAATGGACCTCGTGCTCTTCCCGAGTCCGTGAATACACAAGAATATTATCCACAAAAACTACCACAAACTGATCCAAGTAATCGTGGAAGACATGGTTCATTAAATCCATGAATGCCGTCGGCGCATTGGTTAAACCAAAAGGCATAACAAGAAACTCGTAATGTCCATACCGCGTACGAAACGCGGTCTTTGGAATATCCTCCTCTCTAACCCGTAATTGATAATAGCCCGACCTCAAGTCAATCTTCGAAAAACAATTGGCTCCCCTCAACTGATCAAATAAATCATCTATCCTTGGTAAAGGATACTTGTTCTTGATGGTGGCATGATTCAACTTTCGGTAATCAATGCACAACCTCAAAGAACCATCTTTCTTCTTAGCGAACAAGACCGGTGCACCCCACGGTGACACACTCGGTCGGATAAAGCCTTTCATCCTCAAATCATCAAGTTATTTCTTCAATTCTTCTAATTCAATCAGTGCCATAGAGATTGATGCGGTACCAGGCATCAAATCAATAGCAAATTCCACCTCTCGGTGTGGAGGCAACTCAGTCAAGTCCTCTGGAAACACATCTAGAAAATCATGCACAACTGCTGGATAATCAACCCCATAAAACTTAACGTCATCATCGGCGAAAAGACTAGCCAAGAATAATGTCCGCAATCAACCCCATAAAACTTAACGTCATCATCGGCGAAAAGACTAGCCAAGAATAATGTCCGCCGATCTCGACCCCTAACACCATAAAATGAATGAGTGAGAGGATCACACCGATCTCCCACAAAACAGAAACAATCCCCATCCGGGGTACACACTGAAACTCTGCCCCTGAAACAATCAATGACAGCTCTGAAGGATGACAACCAGTCCATCCCAAGAATGACATCAAATCCCGTCATCTCGAGAAGGATGAGATCGAACTCAAGAACACGTTCGGCAATTGTGATGGAATAACTCCTACAAACTCTACTAAGAGCAACTAAAACCCCGATAGGCATGTCAACACAAAGCGGTCTGTCTAACTGACTGACCTCTAAACCCAATGCCCGTGCAAATGATGAAGCAATGAATGAATAAGAAGCACCAAAATCAAACAATACACGAGCCCAAGAATGGGACACAAGAAACATACCCCTAACAACTGAAGAACTGGATGGTGACTTGGCTGGAGTGAGTGCAAACACGCGACCCTGGGTCCTCTGCCCCTGGGAACTGCCTGTCTGATAGCCAGACTGCTGAGTAGGTGCACTCGAGGAAGCTCCCCTACCAAGTCGAGAACTCTGGGTTGACATAGCTGGCTGAGACGGCTGAGGTGGTGGTGGTGGTTGAAACCCTGACTGAACTGTGGCAGACTGCATCTGCCTCTGCTGTGAACCTCCACCTCTGCCCAAACCACTGCCCCGCTGTGGACAATCTTTCACCTATGGCCCGGCTGGCCACACCCGAAACATCCACCAGACGCCACCTAAATCTAAGTACACTGGGACTTGTGATGCCCTGGCTGCCCACACTTGAAACAAATCATCCGAGCTACCTGTGTCTGAGTGCATTGGGACTTGTAATGTCCCAACTGCCCGCATCTGAAACAAGTAACATTCGGTCTAGAAGACCCCATGGACACTGAAGCTGTGGGTGCAGATCTAACTGGCTGCTGTCCCCTGAACCCTGACTGCTCATGCTTCTGCTTCTTACTTGATTGACCTTCGGAGAAAGTACTCATACCCCTGTTGTGCTTGTAGGACTCCTTGATAACCTTGTTGTCCTTACTCTCAGCCTCAACCACTAAAGCCTTTCGCACTGCTTTTGCATACTCTGTCGGTTCTGAAGCAGCTACAATTGGCCTAATGGTAAGATCAAGGCCATCAACAAATTTCTCTATCTTTTCTTCTTCATCATTAGCAATTCCCGGTGCAAATCTCAAAAGTGATGTAAACTTGTTTTCATACTCTGTAACTGTCATACTTCCTTGCTTTAACCCATCAAACTCCTTCTTTAGTTCCCTCCGCTTAGGCACTGGAAAGTACTTCTCATAATACAACTTCTTGAATGTAGCATATGTCATAGTATCCAGATTATGGGTGTGAGAAACGGTCTTCCACCAAATCTCAGCATCGCCTACAAAATTGTAAGTCGCCAATGTGATCTTCAACTTGTCCGTTGCCAAATTCATGGCATTAATATGCTTCTCCACCTTATCCAGGAAACTGTCCGCAACAAGCGGATCTGGACCACCCTCAAACAAGGTTGGCATCAACTTCACGAACCTGGCAATGTGAGAAAGAGTATCATCTAGCTCATTTGTCTTCGGAGGTGGTGGTGGTGGAGCCGGTGGTGGCACAAACTGTGACGATGACGCACCTGTCGGTCGATATGCATCAAAAATAGCCTCTTGAATGGCTAACCTAATTTGTTCCCTATTCATCTGAAAAGGTGGATCAATAGTCCCCCTCGCTTGTCCCTCTCTTGGTGGGACCAAATCACGCAATAAGATATCTTCCTCAACTTGCTCCTGATCCCTTTCCACGGGATTGGAGCTAGAACTTTCCCCGGGATCCCTTCGTGTTGCCAAGAAGCTATAAGAAAAGGAAACGGATCAATTACGATGACACTAAAATACGCACGAGAACGGAGTCCTCACACGAATGATTTGACAAGAATGGAAACACATAAACACTTTCCATACTTCCAAAATACCCAACTAAGGATAAACATAATCATAATAATATACAACAACATTAACCACTTAACACGTAATGATATAAGCATTTAAACAATTAAGCATGCCTTTCAAATAATTAAACACCTTAACACATAAACATATAAGCATGCAATCACGTAAGCAATTAAACAAGTAAGCAAATAACTCAACTCCCCATGCAATTCTAGGTAGGCCTCTACCCGCCATCCTAATGGTATTCGAACCATGGCTCTGATACCAAATTTGTAACGACTCGAAAAGATACTAAAATAATAATAAAAATCTATAAAAATTTCGGCATGACTTTCGCAGAAAATGTCCCTCAACAACCTGTAGAAATACAAAAAAGAAATGCAATGGCCTAATTGGGCCTTAAATCTAACTTATCCTGTCCCAACGCACAATTCAAATATTATACTACATTCCCAAAATAGTTACATACATATAAAAGTCCCGTTCCTCCATCTCATCCAAACATGGAACCCACTTAAGTTACATCAAATTACAGTCCATAAAATGTAGCTAGAATTAAAAGTCCATAACTTACAACATTATACTAATTAAACTAAAGTGTCACAAGGTAGTTAATATTACATTTACAAAATATTAGAGTCTAATACAAAAGATAACAAAATAGAATGGGTCTTCAAGCTAATCTAAACCTGTGGTGGACCGTCGTCCGCCACCTCTTTTCCATATCCTGAAAAAAAATGTTAAAAATAAGGGGGTGAGCATAAGCTCAGTAGGAAGTGTCTAAGACACACTTCTTATGTCCCCGTGAATCCATACAATGAATAGATAAAAAGTGAACGGGATCATGCCATCGGAAAACACCCATTCTCAACCACAATAACAAGTATATAACAAATATCAACCAATCACAAATTTACCACGATGTCATGAAGTGCAATGTTATGCAAATGTCACTCCCCATTTCCGAAACAATTCCGTTTCAACAACCAAACCGTTAGTGTAGTCCGACCCAAGGCACCTCCATGGCGTCACGAAAAGAAGGTTGGTTAACTATCCACGACCACAAGGCACCTCCAAGGCGTCGCACCCGGCCTAGTTAACTCAACTACATTCCCTTCTAGACTACATCAACATCACGAACCACTAGGCGCCTCCTAGGCGTCCGGTTTTCACAACACTTTTAGAAAATATTTTCCCCAAAACAATTTTTATTTGTTCTAACAATTATTTTTCCCCCTTTCTCTTTCCCAATGGATGTATGAATACTTCATGCTTCAAATCATTAATTTAACTATATACTTTCACACATTTCCATTTACATTATCATCACAATTTAATGAAAATTTCTAAACATTCCTTTCCTTTATTTATTTATAACCATAGCATCCATTTTTCTTCAAGACAATAAATAAATAAATAATCATGGAAACATACAACACATTAAACACTAAGCATGCTTATTTATATGAATTCAAATAACACAAGGAGTACAATTATCATTATAATTACAAAGAACTACAACAATAACAAGCTAAGTAATTAAAATTTAGCATGCTTAGAATCAAATTTAAGGGGAAAAATTCACCAAAAGCCAAGAAATTATAGATTAGAACACCCCTACCTTAATGGAAGTAAAAACTCCTAAAATCCCCAAATCCAAGCCCAAGAACCCTAGAATTTTGAACTCCTTGGAGTGCACCAAATGATGATTGGTTCCTATCAAATTGACGGCCTCGACGAGCTCAACAATTTTGCTTCACAATGTTCTACCAAATTCCCAAAGGAAAAAAGCAAGATCAAGGTTTGAATGGTGAAGGCAAAAAATAAAACAAATGGTCCAGAGAGAGAACTTGGAAACTGCCGAGAGAGAGCATCTGTAATGGCCTTATGGCCTTTTTAATGTTTTTAATAGTGGTGGGGCCCACTTGTTTTATTTCTTTTTCTTTTAACCTTAATTATATATATATACATATATATCACAACATTACAAAATATCACCCTCCACTTAATTCCACTAATACAATATACATACATGAATATAAATACACAAACACATGTGAAATGCCGATGATGCCCCTCCCTTAGGATAAGAAAACCGGGAGAAGTTCCCGAGTCCGGAAATCGTCCCGACTTCAGAAAAATTCTAAAAATGAAACCGTCATTTCTAATTGACTTAGAATGACAAATAAAACACACATTTAAAACCCTCGGCTCAAAATGACCAAAACGCCCTTTGGGGCCCGCGTGGCACGCCAAACGAGGAAATGATTAAAATAATCTAGAAAATCAATTAAATTCCAGAAAATAGAAAATAGGAAAAATCGGTAACATTACATGATTGGCTCTGTAATTTTTTTAATTATTTTTTTTTTTTTTTTCTATTTGGTATTCACAGACACATGCCTTCATGGAGACTCGAACCCTAACCTCTCTTTAAGAAGTAAGAATCGAATACCGCTAAATCACTAACATGTTAGTTTTAATTTTATTTTATGCATTCATGAAGCTATGATTCCAGTTGAAAAATGGAGATAAACTATATATATTATACATGAATTGGTAGTGTTTCTAGTGATTGAAGGTTAATAACTTTGTATCTGGTAAAGCTGTATGTGGTCTTGGTCAGTTACAGAAAAAGAGAGATTAAAAACCTTTTAAAGTGATGCTGGTAGGGATAGTTTGGGCATTTAAAATTTTTATTTGACTGAAATTTAACGGGCATGCTGATACGGGAGGTCAGAGCTAAATAAGCGTTGGTGAACACACAAAAACAAATCTGTTAAAATTTTTATTTGACTGAAATTTAACGGGCATGCTGATACGGGAGGTCAGAGCTAAATAAGCGTTGGTGAACACACAAAAACAAATCTGTCTAGTTTTCTGAATCTGATGGAGCAGCTATTGACTTCATTTCTTCTGCACCCATATTTCTTCTCTGGGCTTCCTTTATTATTCATAGCGTTCCTCATCAAGAAATGGCTCCTCAATACTTCTACTATCAACAAACACCTACCACCTTCACCACCAAAGCTCCCAATTATAGGGAACTTCCACCAACTGGGCTCGCTCCCTCACCATCCACTCCGATCTTTAGCTCAAAGATATGGCCCTCTCATGCTGCTTCACTTCGGCAGCACGCCGACACTGGTCGCTTCGTCCGCTGACGCTGCTCGAGAGATCATGAAAACACATGATATTGTCTTCTCAAACAGGCGGAAATCTATCATAGCTAAACGGCTTCTCTACGATTACAAGGATGTATCCATGGCACCTTATGGTGAATTCTGGAGGCAGATGAAAAGCATTTTTGTGCTCCAGCTTCTAAGTAATAGAAGAGTTCAATCTTTTCACTTTGTCAAAGAAGAAGAAACAGCCCTCCTGATGAAGAAGATGGAAGAATCATATTCTTCATCCTCGCCATTGAATTTAAGTGAAATGTTCACGCTGCTAACGAATGATGTGGTATGCAGGGCTGCTTTTGGGAGGAAGTACAGTGGATGGGGAGATGGGAAGAAGTTTATGCGGCAATTGAAGGAGTTCTTGGGGTTGTTAGGCAGCTTTGATGTTGGGGACTTCATTCCATGGCTTGGATGGATCAATCATGTCACTGGTCTTTATGCCAAAGTGGACAGAGTTGCAAAAGAGATTAATGAATTCCTGGAGCAAGTAGTTGAAGAGCGTATGAATGTCCTGAAAAGGAAGAGTAATGGCGATGAGAGAGTTGAAGACGAAGACAGCGAGGATTTCCTAGATATTTTGCTTAGGATCCATAAAGACAATAGTGCTGTTGATAGAGATTGCATCAAAGCTCTCATCTTGGTGAGGATCTCTCTCTCTCTCTCTCTCTGTGTCGCAATGTATAATTTTATTAAAGAACCAGCAAAATACAACACAACACCCACTCCTAAGGAGTCACAACAATACAGACACCACATCATCTAAACAAGGAAAAATAAAAATGAAGCATCAGCATCAGAAAACAACAAAGCTGTAGTATATCCTGTTGAATTACTAGCAGAAAGGGAAGAGGCTTCAAGTGAAGAGCTGCTTTCCAAACTTATGGTAATCCAGTCAAAGTACTCTTACTAGATATTTCCCAATTACTAGCCTCACCAGATATATTCAACTAGCCTCGTGAATCTGATCCAATCCGGTGAGAACAATTTTTAATGCAAAGAGCATTGACCAAGTCTCAACTTTCCAATGAAAACAGAATGCAGCTGAAACTATTTAACTTTTTGTCATGCTCTCTCTGCCGCTTTCTCCCCCCTGTGTGTGTGTGTGCATGATGGCTAGTCGCAGGGATATTCACATCAAGGATACTCACATATATTGAACTTTACTAACCATCTGAAGTTGTTTTATCTTCTAATTCTTGTAGAACATCTTTTCTGCTGGAACTGATACCACCTCTGCAGTCCTAGAATGGGCAATGACAGAGCTATTAAGACACCCAGGAGTCATGAATAAAGCGCAAAATGAAGTGAGAGAGATTCTTAAAGGCAAACCAGACATAACAGCTGATGATCTGGAGGAAATGTACTACCTTAAAGCAGTGATAAAAGAAACTCTTCGTTTGCATCCTCCTCTCACGGTACACGGACGTGAAGCGAGCGAAGATGTCAGAGTAATGGGCTATGACATTCCAGCCGGAACAATGGTTATTATCAATGCTTGGGCAATCGGAACAGACCCCATGACATGGGTTGAACCTGAAGTGTTTCATCCTGAAAGGTTCTTGAATTCTTCTATAGATTTCAGAGGGCATGACTTTGAATTGATTCCATTTGGAGCTGGCAGGAGAGGCTGCCCAGGAATCTCCTTTGCAATGGCCACCAATGAGTTTGTGTTAGCAAATCTCGTGCACAAGTTCAATTGGGCATTGCCTGGTGGAGCCAGGGCAGAACATCTGGACATGACTGAATGCCCTGGTGTAACATTCCGCAGAAGAATACCTCTCCTTGCTGTTGCAACTCCATGTTCTTGCTAGTGTAATCCGTGACATTGTCATGTTTGTTGCATGTTTCTTGTTTTCGAGAATAAAACATATTTAGAGTGAGTGTGTGTAAATATAGACCAAGTAGTCTTAGCTTAAAGCATTATTGGATTGTGAATTAGATAATATGAACTAAAGACTTTCAAAAAAAACTCTCTCACTTCTCACATTTGTTTGTGTTACACTCGTCTTGTCTGATATAGATGGAGGAATATTGGAATGTAATTCTGTACTGAACACAGGATTGCACTTGGATACAGGATGCTGCCAAGGTGACTAACCCAGTATATAATTTTTTCGGTTAATGATATAATATTAGAGATCAATCAACGCAAGTGACAAAATGAAATATCATCACTGTTACAAAGAGCCTAACAGTGATGATATTGAAGTTCATTGAATCTGTCAAGGATACTTCACATGCTGAATGGCAAAATTATCATCACTGTTGGAAAAGATTCCACAGATGATAAGGATAGCAAAATTATTGAAGTTCATTGGATCTGTCAGAATCCTGAATGGCAACACTTCGTCACCAATCAAACAGGGACCACCAAGAGATGGGCCAAATGACAAAGTTCCTTGACAATTTTCAGAGAGATAAAAAAGAGCTACACAAACAAACTTGTCAGGAGCCTTGATAAGATTGACAACAAAATTAATAGAAAAAGACAGTGATTAATCTAATAGTGACCATGAAAAAGGCAGTCCATCTAACAAAAGATATGAATGATACGATAATATATAGTTTTGATGGAGAGATATCTTCCTAAAATTTTTCTAAATTTCGCCATTCTATCATTCCGTGTATAAAAGAGGGAAAAAAAAAAAAAAAAAAAAAAAATTATTAGAAAATTCGTAAATCAGAACTATTTTAGAGGATTGAAAATTCAAAAGTGTCCGGCCCTTGACACGGATACTTCATATGCTTTTGAAGAGTTCATATAGCATAGATTCACATGTCATCCTGAATTAAAAAAGTGCCCATATATTTGAGATGACAAATCTGGTACTAATATGATTTAATAATTGTGTCAAACATAAGGTAGATATATTATGTAAAAATATTAGTGTAAACTCGAAATAGCATGACTTAATTTGATCATTTTGTCTCAAAACAGGTAATATGTATCTAAAATCACATTTGTAAATGGAAGGACTTCACAAAATGAGGTTACCCAAATGCCTTTTTATTTTTAAATTCTTTTCTACAAAGTTATTCTTAGAATCCCCCGTTATCCATTATACTGAAAGAACTTTTTACATCCGGAAGCCACGCCAATAGGGCCCAAATCAAAATAACATTCCCCCAACTATTTTACTTGCACTGGACCGAGTGGTTGTGCAAAATAATTATCCTAAATAAAAAAATGAACTAGTATTTATTGAAGATTTTTAATATTAATTTATTTTTTGTCTTGGAAGTAATAAGGCATGTAATTTCATAGAATGGTATATTTGAAAATTCATTTTCTTTTATTATAATAAAAAATATTAAAAATTACACTCATAAAAAATTATTTTTCCAAAAAGAGACCTTTTATGAAATGAAAATAGTAATATATATATATATATATATATATATATATGTAAAATCTGAATTTGCAATACTTAAAATTCAGCCCCAATAATTTTCAATTTTATTAAATAACACCAAATTAACAAGTTGGTATTAGCTAATAATAATTCTCTTGATTTTCAATTGTTTTTTAAGTGAGTTAACAAACACGATTTATAGAAAATATTCAATCGGGACATGGAAGTCCAAGAAATTAAGACACTTATTCTTCGGGTTAAATGCTTTGACATCCCCTCAGATTTGCCTTTATTGCCCACAGATTAAACTAGTGAAAAAAAAAAGTTTAAACCTCCCATCAGGTTTAGTTAACTTTACCCTGATACCCCCTTTAGTTAATTGACCATTTAAAAAGTCAAAAATTAACTAATTAAAAAAATATAATGCCAAAACTACCCTTAACTAGTGAAGATGAGAAGTGTAAGGCCATAAATGAGTTTGAGACCAACTAGGTCATAGATGACGTCAGACCTTGATTTTTTTTATTTCATTTTCCATTGAATTATATGTTTCATTGAGGCATATATTAAACATATTGTGAAATTATACTAACATATTGTTGTATGTTTAATTTAGGCATATGATTGGTAAAGCTAATTATATGCTTTATGCTAACTAATGTTTTAGTGTTTTTAATCAATTTAATTCATAAAATGAAAAGGAAAAAAGAAGAAAGAAATAAATAGAGAAAAAATATGACATCATATTATGAACATTATATAAAATATATTAAGTAATCATATTGTGATTAATTTATATTATTAATCACTTAAATTGTGTATCATAACTCAAAATCAATTTCATAATAATTTTATTGGATTGATTTAAAAATATATATCTTCATAATATTAATTAATTTCATAATGATTTTATCAGATTGATTTAAAGAACAAACCAGGAACGAAACTAGATTAGAAACTCTTGATGATGTTTTTCAGATTTTTCATGAGATTCTCAATCATAAGTGTATTTCAGATTCTTACACATATGGTACATGCACTTCTTTGATTCATGGCTTATACCTAAATTAAAATGATATATCTAAGTTAATTTAGGTTGATATTTGTGTCCAAATTAAAATGACTGAAATTAGGGAAGGGTAGTTTTGACATTATATTTTTTAAATTAGTTGACTTTTGACTTTTCTGATGGTCAACTAACGGAAGGGAATGTCAGGACAAAGTTAACCAAACCTGAGGGGAGGTTTAAACTTAAGCAATAAAGGCAAACCTGAGGGGTATTGTTTAATCAAATCTATACACATAATGAAATCCTCATTAGTTTAAAAACAAGTGTGCGCCAATACACAAAAAAACAAATTTCTTTAGTTTTCTGCATCTGATGGATCAACTACGGACTTCATTTCTTTCGCACCCATTTTTCTTCTCTTGTCTTCCTTTATTAATTATTATTCATAGCATTCCTCATCAAGAAATGGCTTCTTAATACTTCTATTATCAACAAACACCTACCACCTTCACCACCAAAGCTCCCAATTATTGAAAACTTCTACCGACTAGATTTGCTCCTTCACCGCTCACTCCGATTATTAGCTCAATGACATGGGCCTCTTATACTAATTCACCTCGGTGGCGCACCAAAACTCATTGTCTCCTCCGCTAACGCTACTCGAGAGATCATGAGAACAAATGATCCTGTCTTTTCAAACAGGCCGAAATTGAGCATCGCTAAACTGCTTTTCTACGATTCAAAGGAAATGACCACGGCCCATTATGGTGAGTTTTGGAGGCAGATGAAAAGCATTTTTGTACTCCAGCTTCTAAGTAATAGAAGAGTTCAGTTTTTTCATATTGTCAAAGAAGAAAAAATAGCCCTCCTAATGAGGAAGATTAAAGAATCATCTTGTTTATCCTTGTGATACCCCTCGATTCTAGAGCCACGGGTGATCAAGTCCAAACACAGAACCGAAGGATATCAAACAACTAATATTTAAACAAGCATTTAATATAAAAAGAATAATAAATAAATAAATAAATAATAAGCTGAAGGGAACTAAATAATAAATACTCATTAATTAATCCAACAATAATCCTCCACTATACTAAATCCTCTGATACCAGTAATTAATTAAAATTACAACTTAGGAATCCATCATGTGGACCCCTAATCCAAAGTCCAACTGAAATTATTAAAATCCAAAACTAAAACATAAAGAAGAAAATCCTACGTTAAGACGGAGGAGTGAAAAGATCGTCTCTGCTTAGCACGAGCAATTCCTAAGCTTGGAACTGACGAAAGCCTGAAAAATAATGGTGGATCAGGTCCACAAATAAGTTCTAATCTACTACATCCCAAATAGAGACTCAGAACTCATATACATCCTAATTAATTCAACAATAACTAATAGTCCATATATACACACACACACACACACACACACACACACTAAAGAAACCTCACTAGACTAAAGGGTTACCTCAACCTGAATAGTAAGCAACATGCAAAATACACATATAGTGGGCATGAATACCTAGATCTACCAGGGCACACAACTACACTATATCTAGCTACACATCCCTAACAATATACGCACTCTAACCACTGATCCTGAGACTCAAGCTCATATCATGGTATTTACTTTAGATATATAATGTCCATCCTATTCATATAAAAATAAAATTATCCAAGTATTATTTTAACAATATGTCATCTAGCTGTTCCGTTGACTTGACATGAATAAGTAGGACTTAACTCTATGGTTAATCTATTCCCATATAAATATAAATAGGTTGGACTTAACTATTCCGTTAATCCATTCCTAAAGTGTCCCTATCCCATAATGGTGCACTAATCCAAATAATAACCATATAAAGGTTTTCATATCCATTAAAGATGCAAATATTATTTTTACATCTAAAAATCCAAATAAACATGGCATAAATCATATATATATCATTTGCATTTAATTGAGCAAAATAATAATTCTAATTAGCATGCATTTAATTTACCTCATAAGAAAATAATATGTATCTCAATTAATTGTACTCCTCTACAATCTGATTAAATTAATTTAAATCTAAATAATTGTTTAAAGCAATTTAATCCAACTATATTTAATTAATTTAATCTCTTAAATTAACTATATTTCATACTTAGCATGGGTACTTTAAATCATGCGTTTAAAATCCTTCATAAATCTAAGTTAACAATTTGAAAATCTTTAAAACAGATTTAATAACATATTGTGAATAGTAGGCAAAATCCCAGACAAAACCCAAACTCCAGTACTGAATCAATAGACTGAAATCCTATTTCAGTTTGCTAATACAGCTCTATCAGTTGACCGATGGCCCATACCAGTCGGCCGATAGCCCTACTTAGGTCGACCGAAGCCCTGTATCGGTCTGCCGAACCCTGCGCTGTTCCTCTTATTCTTTAACGAATTTCTTCCTACGAACCTCCATTGTTGGACCTTCAAATCTCTAATTCAACCTCCCAGAACGTCCAAATAAATCCAACACAATTCATAAACATTATTAAAATATTGTAGAATGCACATCATGCATCAATTTGTCCAAATTACAAAGCATATACACAAACCCATTACATATATACAAACACTATAATTTCAG